GTGGGGGGCAGGGGTGCTACAGATCTCCCATCTCCATCTCGATCCAGCCATCCCCATCCTTATCCCTTCCCCATCTCCATCCCCATCCATTTATCCCCATCCCTATCCCATCCCTATCTCCATCCCCATCCATCTTTTCCCATCCCATCCATTCCCATCCCATCCCCGTCTCCTCCCCAGCCTCTCCCATCACCATCCCCATTCCCATCCCATCCCATCCATCCCCATCCCAATCCATCCATCCCTATCCCATCCCTGTCTCCATCACCATCCATCTATTCCTGTCCCATCCATCCCTGTCCTATCCCCATCCCCTCCCCAGCCATCCCTATCCTATTCCCATCTCCATCCCATCCCCATCCATCCCTATCCCATCCCTATCCTATTCCCATCTCCATCCCATCCCCATCCATCCCTATCCCATCCCTATCCCCATCTCCATCCCAATCCATCCATCCCTATCCTATCCCTGTCTCCATCCCCATCCATTTATTCCTATCCCATCCACCTCTATCCCATCCCCATCCCTATCCTATTCCCATCCTCATCCATCCCATCTCCTCCCCATCTGTCTCCTCTATCCCATATCCATCCATCCCCATTTCCATCCCCATCCCTATTCTCATCCCATCCCATTTCCATCTATCCCTATCCCATGCCCATCCCAATCCCTCCATCCACATCCCTATTCCATCCCCATCTCCATCCCTATTCTCATCTCATCCCATTGCCATGGCCATTCCTATCCCCATCCCCATTCCCACACCATGCCCTCCTCATCCATCCCTATCCTATCCCCATCCTATTCCATGCCCATCCATCCCTATCCCATCCCCATCCATCCCTATCCCATGCCCATCCCAATCCATCCATCCCCATCCCTATTCCATCCCGATTTCCATCCCCACCCCTATTCTCATCCGTCCCCAGCCATCTATTCCTATCCCATCCATCCCCATCCATCCCTATCCCATCCCTGTCCCAGTCATCATCCCCATCTGTCTCCTTCCCCATCCCTATCCCATCCCCATCCCCTTCCTTTCCCTTCCCCAACCCATCCCATCCCCATCCCTTCCCTTCCTCATCCCATCCCTATCCCATCCCCA